GCTGCTCCGGCGGCCTGGGGAGCTGCTTCGCCGAGATAAGAGATGATAGGGTATCCGAGATCACATTCCCACACTCTGAATTTTCCAATAATGCCAAGAGTACTGACCTAACAATTAACTGTGTTGCAAAGGGGGCCTCTTCACCTAGCCCAAAGACAAACAATGCATTTCCACAACAAAGAATACTCAGAGAGGCAAGGAAATGCCTTCAAGCAACTACTACACACCGTGCAGATAACAATACAATAGCTGCTAGGTTCTTAAATAATGATTCTTCATCAGCGGCAGCAAATGCAGAGAAAGATTCCAAAATCCCTCATTGTATTGAATTTGCCACGGATTTGCCCTCTTTACAAACTGATCCTGAGGAGGATGCTGCTTCTCCAGGGGCAGCAGCAGCAGCTGAGCTCCAGCGCACTGATACAGGCAGTAAGGCATTGCCATTCCTGCACAGCATTAAAATCAAAATAGAGGACAGCAGTGCGAACGACGAGTATGAGCCTGATCTTACAACACATAAGCTAAAGTGTGAGTGCAATGATACTAAGGATGAGTTTTACGGTGTGACTGAGAGTAATAACCAGGACGCTTTATTAACAGCCAAGGAAGATTCTGCATGCACTGAGAAAGAAACCACTTCCTTAAACCCGCTGACTCAGAGTCAGGTCCTCTCATGCACTTTAGGTACTCCAAAACCTGAGGATGGGGAGTATAAATTTGGAGCAAGGGTGAGAAAAAATTACAGGACACTGGTTTTGGGAAAGCGACCTGTACTGCAGACTCCTCCAGTCAAACCAAATTTGAAATCAGCTCGAAGCCCACGTCCTACAGGTAAAATCGAGACACATGAAGGAACACTGGATGATTTTACAGTTAACAATAGACGCAAAAGGGTAGCCAGCAATGTAGCATCAGCAGTGAAAAGGCCATTTAATTTCATGGCAAATTTTCCCTGTCCACCATCACTAATTATTGGCAATGATGGGGATTTGTTGCCAGCTTATTCCTTAAACACCACTAAGGATTCCCAACCACCTCACAAGGCCCATCCTGTATGGAAATGGCAGCTGGGCGGTTCTGCAATACCTCTTCCACCTAGCCACAAATTCAGGAAATTTAATTAATAAAATAGTTCGGAAAATGTTTTCTTGAACCACCTTTAACTTTCTTACGTTTTGCAAACTCTGCAGGACGGTTTGTACAAGCCCGTTAATGCTATACACACTTTTGGAATCCTGTTTTATCACATTGTGAAGACAGAGAACAGATTGCTATTTTCTTTGCCATTACAACAGTGGTTTTCTGTTTGTTTTGGGTTTTTTTTTTTTTGTTTGTTTCTGTTGCATTTGGGGTTTTTTTTTTGTTACATTCCACAGAGTACTTCAGACTAAAGACTCAAGTTAAACTCAGTTATTATGGTAGAGCTGGAACACTTTACTGTTTAAATGCTAATAATGCACCAGTACCTCAATTCAACTGCTGCAAATAAATGTCAAAAGGTTGAATAATAAATATTAGAATGAGCCATTAAATTTATGCACTAGATTTCGAAAATGGAAGTCTAACTGTTAATTCAGTTAAAGTTTGTTAAGTTACATGGTTGCACAGTAAGGGTTCACTATAATTCAATGTGGCAGCAGCCTACTTTTCGGGAGCTTTGTTTTCGGGTGCAGGGGTGTCTTTTTCAAAGAGCAGTTGCACTTACTCCTTTTTCTCTGGTTTGGAAAGGCTGGGGTCTGCCTGCGACCCCAGCGCTGGGAAAAGCTGCCTCATCTGAAATCAGTAAATAAATGTGAAATTCTATTTTTGGTAAAAGGGCGTCTTTTTACTTGTACAGCCACTCTTTGCAATTGGGAAGTCTTTTTATTTCACCTAGAGGTCTTAAATAAGGTTATTGTTACTCACTAATGTCATACTTAAGTTGTGGTCTGAACATGCCCCTTACAAACTTGCAAAACAACTAAAATATTTGCCCGACCAGCAGCACAATTTATGGTCCAGCCCCTCACGCTGGCTGGAGGAAATAGCAAAGCAGTAAATGCAACACAGAAAGTGAAATGAGAGGCCGTAAGTGGAAAGACTACACAAAACGAGAAGACCATGTTATTCATAGCTTTTTGGCACCAAAACTCAGGCGTTCCAACCATGTTACACTTCCCAGTTCTATCCTCATCTGTTGAAATTTGTTGTCGTGGGGGTTTTTTGCCATGCCATCCTCTCTATGTAGCAGAAACATTTCTACTGCACGTGACAATCAGAGGCAATTACCTATATTTGCACTTAATATCGAAATAGTCGAACAGGCAGACTTCTAGAGTCTAGCCCTCGGTAAGACATGCTGGTATAATATATTGTGATGATGGAAGCAGTAAATCAAAATTATGGAAATTTGCACTGTTGAAAAGCATGCTTTAGCTTTATTTTCAATTAAAAACACTGTTTTTAAAAAAATCCTGATTCCATACACTTTGAATTATTGCAGAGTTATCCGTGGTTTCCTCTCCGTTAGTAAGTTCACTGTTTTTATTTGGAGGAAATACGTTTCAAGAGGTTAACTGTTTCCCTCCCTCCCCCCCAACCCCTCGAAAAGAAAGGGAAGGGGGAAAAAAAAAAAAAAAAAGAGAGAGAGAGAAAGGCTGAAGGCCGAGGTGGAGGCAGAGCTGAGGACCGGGGAAAGGTCTCTCTTGCGGGGGGAGGACGGGTACAGCAACTCTGAAAACAGCCTGAAAAGTTTGCAGCTTGAGAAAGGCAGTTGTAATTGAGTTGCTGAATCAGCAGAGTTTAGGATGAATAATTGCTGGTTTCTTTCTTTGGATTAGCATTTTATTTATACTAGATCGTTCCCAAATTAAATTTTAAGGATTCCACTCATCGATCAATCCCGGGAGAATAATTTATCGTAAATCAAAAAAAGGAAAACAAAGCAACAATGTAATGTTTACTGTGTGACTCAAAGTCAACATTTCTGCTGGCAATCCACTGCCTGGGTTTCAATTTTTTAATTCCTGCCTTTTGTGATGCCCTCTCCCAGCCCCGCGTCTCTAAATATTCCAGGCAGTCACTAACTGATTTCAGCTCTGTTTACTATATCCACACCGTAGTTTTCCTCTCATTGTAAAAGGCCCGGTCTAAGAATACCTGCAGCCAAATATATTTAGAAAGAGTAAACAATCGCCTTTCAGAGGAGTTACCCTTCCCCCCTGCATGCACACGCGCACACACGCACACACATCACTTTAAACTGCCAATTGCAAAAGGTGCATTGCATACTTAACCGCTCTGCTGAAATTACGATAGTCATGAAAAATCTGCTTACTGAAGTTGTTCTGAGATGAATGTTTACATTCGTATGTTTAGAGCTGCACAGATTACAGCCTTATTTCCAGACAACTGTAAATACATACAAAATGTACTGCTCAGGAAAGCCCCCCGCTCTGTCAGAAAGCAAAAAGAGAGAGAGAGAGAGAGAGAAAGAAAAAAGAAAAAGAGAGAGAGAGAGAGAGAAAGAAAAAAGAAAAAGGAACAAATAAAAGGAAAAATGTTTTTAAAAAAGGAAAAAAGAGCCAAACCCAAAAGCTACAAAGGTGCGATATGCAAACTTGAAACCTAAAATTTCGCCTTGTCAAATAAACAACGTATCACTTTCAAAGTAACTCTGTCCCCTGACCCTGTTTACTTCCAATTAGAGATATGCTGATTTGGCCAGGAATTGTAAATTGCAGAGGTACCTTTTCAGGTTCCCGAAATAATCCTGGGAGGGGGGGAGGGGGAGGAATAAGTATAAATTTATACCAAATAGGCTCTGCAGAATTGAGGACGTGAAATATGGCGCCTAGCCCTGCCAGAGGCCTGGAGCTCCAGGCCCGGGAGCGGGGCAGGGAAGGGAAGCGAGCGCCCCGGGCCCGGCACCCCCGGCTCCCCAGCGGGCCGGCCCCGGCTCCCCCCACGCAGGCAGCATCAAAAGGCAAGAAGTTAAACAGCCAAATAATTTTCACGCGTGTACACCTCAGTTTAGAGCAATCCACTAACAAGGACATTAGTGGTTTTATTAGAGATGGAGAAATTAGCCAGGTACAATAACTCACTGGTGCGGGAGGGGGGGGTGGGGGGAATAAATAATAATAAAAAAGGTATTCCTTCCAACTCTGGTAGTTTGGTAACTGTTTCTGATGGCATTGTAATTATTATCGCGAGCAGAGTTCATTATCATTTCAGCCTTTATAATATAAAGTCATATAATTGAGTTACGTAAAAAACCCCAATTTTCTTCCATAAAGGTAAGTTCTAATAATGAGGGAAAACAAAGGTTTTTCAAGTAAGCCAGGTTACCATTTGGTCACAATGTTTATAGGAGATAAAACTTAAAATGTATGAGTAATGAATCGCCACCATTTTCCAATTGCTGGTGTACACAAAAAATCAACAGAATTTTCTAGAGGAAAAAGCAATCAAGGGAAGCGTGTGTACTTTATGGATGATACTGCGTAGGTATTTGCCACAAGTAGAGCTCCCTGGTAAATTTATTGGGAAGATTTCTGCTCCCAGATGGAAGACAAAAGAAAGTTTTGGACTATGTTTAATTCTCTATAACATGAAAAAGGGAACACATGTAATGCCTTCAGCAATGAGGTATATTGCCTTAAAAGATGTAACTTGCTGTTTACAACAATTTACTTTAAGAAGTGATTGTTCTATAACCTACACTTACTTGACTACAGTGGGATAATCTCTTTACTGGTTGTTTATTTAAAAAGCCACTACGAGCAATAATGCAAAATAGTGGCAGCAGTTGTATGAAGTTTGCTGTTCAATCAATTCGCTTGGTGTTTTTTTTTACGTGGTCTCTGATCCTTTTTCCTCTAACAGATTTAGTTGCCAATAAATTAAAGTTTCTGCAGAAATGAGAGCAATGCTATCATGTTTGCGTTTGTCACTGTTCACAATGCGAGTGGTTGAGACAGAGAGGGGTAAAAACCTGGCATTTTGGACACACAGCGGTGATCTGCAGGAAAATATTCTACATATGCAGCATGTGAGAGAACATGAAACACGGATAATGTTGTTAATTGTGGTTTTTATGGTTAAGAGGATTGCTGGAAAAAATATGTAATGGCTCATCCTGGGATCTATTTGGTCAGCTTGGAAGTACAAAAGGAGGGTGAGCGCCTAACAAATGAAAAGCCCTGGCCAGCAAAACAAGGAGGGAGGCATTGGGCTCTACCTTGCTAAAGTCACGCCTGCAGACATTCCCCGTTCCCCTGGTATTTAGCCCTGCAACCGCACTTAAAGACGGCGCGGTCCAACAGCGCCTGGGCCGAGCTGGGGCTGCGGGGCGGCCGGGGCTGGGGGCGGGCGCCGCGGCCTGCCCCAAAACCTTTTGGGAAGGGACCGCGAACCGGTTTTAGGCCTTCCACTTTGCATTTTTTCACTGCGCTGATATAATTATTTGCCGTGCCCTAGGCCCCTCTCTCTCCCCCTCTCCCTTTCACTCCGAGGCGGCCTCACAAGCCCCCGCTTTAAAAGGCCCGAGATGTTTTGCATGAAGCGCTCACAATAGGGGTTGAGAGAATTGACAGTTTCAAAAACAAGGCGCCCTGTCCTTTCCAGATGCCGAGGACCCTTCTCCCGCACCATCTCTCGTTTGCTCCTCGCTGCTGGTGGCTTTATCCTTAGCATTGCAAATATACGGCAACAGCTGTGTTTGTAAACAGGGGGGAGGCCGGCGGAGCC